CGATCGCAGTTTAATTAGCGCCTGTTATTTGTCGGTCAACCAGAGAGCATAAAGACGGAATCTGCGAATAGCCAGTAGGATTCTGATCGCTAAATGAATGTCAACATTTTGTGTATGGGAACCCTACAGTTATGGAGTTCCTTGGTTTAAGTGATACTTTCAGTTCGGTAGACCAACATTCTAGCCCCACACGCATGTGGATCCCACGAATGTAGTACGTCCTCTGTATTTTCCATGTACTTGTATACAGTTGACAGTGGATGGGGAGCTCTCCAGAGGCTTTCCAACAAGTGTCGCTGTCCCAAAAAGACGTCAACTCTCGTTATTTTTTCTACTTTCATCGGTGAAGAGGTAAGGAGGCAAAATCTGTAAGACCCTGGTGTCAAGCAAGAACCATGTCAACCTTGAATATGCGGATGACACCGCTCTTGTTTTCGAACAAAATCAATGAGTGCAAAGCTTACTAGAAAACTTGTTCAAGGTCATCCAGCTCCTCACGACCACAAAGTGCACATGCATTCGTTGAGCATTCCTCTAAAGTTCCATGGAGAGACATAGGAGGTTGTGGAACACACCAAGTACGTCGAAAGTTGAAATGACTTTGATGGCAGCTTGACAGACAAAGTCAAAGTACGAATCCAAAAGACAAAATATCGGTTGCTAGTTTGAGATGATTGTGGCGTCGATAAACCAAATTGCTGGATCACAAATGACGGACGATTCGGCATACAATGAAGACTATGTTTTTGTACGACTGTTAGACCTGGTCACTGCGCGTGGAGAGCGCTAGACATATTCGGGCTATAGGCCAACGATATCTCAGAACAATGACAAAATTAGAGTCTTATCCTCAGTCACGCTATAAAAAAGCTCCGCTAGAAAAAACCGACTAATCCATTCAAGTTAATCAGTCAGATAATGGGTAACGGTACTTTCCCTTCCCAACTGTCGCCTTCAAACGGAAATGCGGCTTTACAATAAAAAGGCTTGTGGATGAAAGGTGGATATATTCAGGATAACGTACCAGCTCCAAGTTTTGTTGACATAGATTTTAGGCGAAATTCTGACTGCTGCCTGAATATAAAGAGCCAGAAATATGTGTTCACGTGTCAGCCAAGAATAAACACAAACCAGCCTCCAAATTAAGGGTTCATTTCTCGGCTGATGTCTACGTAATTTCGACGTGCAAATGAGCTCTATAATTGTCGCTCAAGTCAAAGATGGGTCAAGCCAAATTTAGGGAAATAATCCTAAGGGAAGAGTTCCGAAGAGGAGAAAGACGATATTACGTGATTCTTTCAAATTAAGCACGTGAAATAAATGTAACATTATTGAATAGCTTTGCAACGGCAACTAAGGGAGAATCCTCCATTCTCTGTGAAGTGATATTGCAAAGCGGCTGATTTTATTGACAAATTGCAACTGTATTCAAGAATCGAGTACTTGAGTTTCCGGGATTTATACCCACTAATGAGCGAAAAACAGGATGGAGAAGACAATAAACTGTCTGCAAATTCGTTGCGATCGAAACATGTGCTCAACATTGCAAGCAAAAGGTAATTCAGGTTCACCTTACTTTTCTCGATAAGTAGAGTATGAGGAGATAACCGCAACTTCTGAGGAACATTCTGCACTTTACTGCATTTTTTCTGGAAAAATAAGAAATAGTCATTTTCCTCTGCCAAATTATATTTTGGGTATCTTGCTGTGTCAATTTAAATTTCCCGTTAATTCCCGCAAACTTTCATGCTGCACGAAAAACACGGGACCCTGCCGATTGAGCATTTCCGGCCAACCTACAAAGAACAATTTTGTCGTCAAAAAAGTTAATCGACTAAATTCAAACATCCCGAGAAGCTTTATGTGAGGCTATGTTCAGCTGTGTTTGTTGAAAAATGTGGGTAAGGATTCCGGCCAAATTTGTTTAAACGGATATCCAGTACGCTTTCGTAGGTTCTCGAGACATTCACGTGACTACCTCAAGTTCTTGACATACCGTTTTCCTCATAGAAGACTGTCATCAGAGGAGACCAAATATTGCCGGAAACCACTTATGTTGGCCTCCCAAAATGCATTTCAACGATAAGCTGCTCCTTAAAAAAAGAAAGCTTGTGTAGCAGACAACTCTGTCCGTGTTTTTGAGACAACTGCTTCAGAATGAAATTACTGTTGCCCATATGCGGTCTATCATAGGTTATCCGCTGTTGGATTCGGAGAAATCACAGTAAGTGATGAAATCTATTTTACAAATACAGCCTAAATCCTGTAATTATTTCATGTTTACCTTGTTTGCTGAATTTGTTAGTTCCGTCAAAATTTTAGTCATTCCCCAAGGTGACATTATCAGTATGTCAGGATTTCGTGCTGTCCAACAAGCGACATACCACCGAAATGCAGCACAAATTCATCTAACTTTGCATCGATGATGTCACATGGACCAATGGCACTGCGTCTGCAATAACAGCGCCAAATTCAGTGAACATGTCAATCACCAACCATGCTACAAAGTCTGGCAATTCCTGTTCTCAGAAAGTTGGATTACTTCTGTCGTCCCCATAGAAACGACAAAGAATTGGGATTCCGTTCCAAAATTACGCGATTTCCACGCGCACCCAGTTAACGATAAATTGAACGCTTGGATAACGTATATTTGTAACATAAAACACTTGTAGACTAAGATTTTTCTACATACGTTAACGGCCAAACAATCACATAGACATTTCACCGAAAACTTAGGTTGCAAATCTCCAGCGAGATGCAAACACAAGCGATCTAATCGTTAGACATTCTGTGATTATGAATTACGGGGCTTATAACAGCAAAGTATGTCCATTCTATGCTTCTGTCGATCTTTAGATTCCAGTTTATCATGCAGTTAGAAGTTTCCACAATCAGGTGAAATTTCCCGTTTACAAGCACAACTAACAGACGTGAAAAGAAGGAACATATAATCGTTTGCTTAGTCAGACAAGTCATATTTAAGTATTGTCTGGGAGATGGTACAGGATAAATCTATCTACTTATATACATTGATCAGCTTCGCAGCTAAAGTGAGCGGATGATGCTTAGAATGTACAATCAGAGCCTATTGTTGCAAATATTCTCTGTTCAAGGAATTAAACCGTTAACTCGCGTTCCATGAGTATTTTCCTACTGAAATATGCTAGGCCATCGGTCTAACATTTACTGCAGGTATGTATCTGGATCACCCGTTTGTTGGTTTTCGAAGAAGCTGGAACAGGTATACCTATGATAAAGTTGCGTGACTTTCACGCGCAAATATTTTGGTGACTGGCTTTTGATTTGCTACTCATCCGGCTGTTTGCTAGGTCCTGGATGACCCTAATAAGTAATGTGGATTTAGACGGCACGGAAAGAATGTTCAGAACAATCGGGATCGAACTAATCGTTCAGAGCATATCACTGAAGTTTTATGATATGCCTAAACACCCAGAACCTTAGGGTGCTAACTTTATGCTGATAAGTCAACAAAAGGCTTCTGGGAAAAATAAGCAAATGATATGATGTATATTAAGATACCCGCAAACACATGCAGCCCACACTTATGCGCATTCCAGGTTTTATTGAGCAACAAACACTTTTGGGCAAGTGTCTTGGAGGCACAGGCGGGAAATTTTAGCCAAGCTCTCCAAGTAAGATTCACTCTCCAGGATGGTCTTTAGTAGTCTTTCCCCTCGATGAACAGAATACACCGTCTTAATAGGGCCAAAAAACTATATGCCTTTGATCTCCTCTCTTCGAGAATTTAGAGTCATGAACTGCACTTGCAGCCAAATGGAAATGACTAGTGATTAGATTTTGTAAAGTTCTCGAAGAGCATTAGAATGTTATTTATATTTTGCTACAAGCCTAGAAGTAGCTTACCACTAGTCACCTAGTGTTGTAGCACTAAATTGTGGCAAGCAACGTTGCCTGAAAATTACTGGTTCATAATTCAAACTCACTCGTGAATTTGTTGACAATTGAAATCACGGTATACATCAAATACTTAAGTAACGATCGAGTGCGAATCACATTCTATGCAGACCTGTCTATCTCAGAGAGTAAATCCTGAAAAAAACAAGCTTTTTTGAAAGATTCTAAGGTCACACCGCATGAATTCTTTTGCGCTTCAGAACTATTTATCGTGATACCACGATATATTTTCCGTTTGAGCTCAAGCATACATATATAACGACGACACGCTTTGTAATACGTTTTTTAGCAAACACCTAAGTGTTAAGGCATAGCTACAGCAGCGGAATCTAGCTTTGGGTAAATATAGCCAAGATAATGTGTCTGCTCTGGGTTGCAGATCTATAGAATAGTTGCCAGCAGGATGCCAGCTCCGTCCATCTGACGCTTGGGGTCCCACAAAAAGATGTACTTGCCTTTGGTTTTCATTCAATCTGTCTATTTTATTTGTGTTGCAAGCATACAAAATTGACTCTTCTTTTACGAACTTATTTTCTTCAAAGCTACGTTGGTATTCACAAGCTGTAGTCACTCAAAGAAAGATAATAATAACTTGAGGAAATTCTCGCTGTTTCAAAAGACCATTCCCTTTGTAGGACTTGCTGATGATAGCACCACAAGAAGTATCCGCTATGGTTCACAACATAACCCAGAGGATAGGTGCAAATATTGTCCAAGGGTGCAACCTTTCAATGATCACAGTTTGCTTCACATAAGCTCAACAAAACAAGGACCACCTGTGAATAACATTAAAGAATGACGTGAAGGGATTCTTATCATAAATACACATTGCTGTACATTTCACACGTAGCTGTAAGGAGAATCTTCATAATTATAATGGTAATTGATTAACATTTATTCAGTGTTTTGCCATCACTATGAAAATTGTACCTTAAAATAGAGTCTAATGCTACTGAACTGGATTGCTTTTGAACATTGAAGTAACACCTTGTCATTTCCTTTCCTAATTCAGGTGGAGAAGTGATATTATCAGAAACAGTAAGGAGGCTACGTGACTTCAAGTAATGGCTGGATCACAACAAGGCATGGGGAAGCCTGCGGACATGATTTGTTTGTGCATTGGAGGTCGACTCTTTGTAACCCGCCGAGCAACCTTATACCGGCTACCAGAAAGCCGTTTGTATCTAATTGCCACCCAGGGATCCAGCTGTCAAACTATGCCCGGCACTGGTACGCCATCCCCAAATCCTTTGAACATGTCCAATCCGTTAAGTGGTTTCCAGAGCTCAAATATCAGTGAAAGAACCGTGGTAGCAGGTGCGACCATTTTACCGGCCAACGTGGCTTCCCTTGTAACTGGTAATATGAACCTTAAATCTGCATCTTCTCTATGTCGAAACCGTATGTCAATTGTGCCCGGTGTTTCACCGCAGCCAGCACCATTGTTACCCATGACAGATTCGAGTACTTCCATGAACTTGTCCGTGCCTGTGACTCCACAGCCATCTGGTCAAATGCCATTGGGTTTCTATCCCATTCAGCAAGCTCCCCCAGTAGTGTATTTTTACGACAGAGACCCTGAAATATTCCGTTTTGTATTGGACTATTATCGTACTGGAGAGCTCCATTTACCGTCAAGCATATGTGGACCCTTTGTGCGGAAGGAACTGATTTTCTGGGGTATTGATGAGTCACTAATCGGTCCATGCTGTATGCCTGCGTATATGCGATATGACGAGGAGAAAAGGACAAAGAATACTCTCTTTCGTGACTGCTTCGAAGATATTGATTCAATGCAAAATCTGGTGAAATTCTCCAGAGGATGGAAGAAGTGGCGTTATCGCATGTGGTTGTTCATGGATCATCCAAGTTCCTCTTTACCAGCTAAAGTAAGTAATGAGAGCTCATGCTTCATCTCCGAGCATATAACACACCAAAAACCCAAGCACTTTGCTCACTTATTAGTTTGTTAGTTGAACGGTCTTCTGGCCAGGCTACTTTGTTCGACTTATTCACAAAGGAGCTGTTAAACCTGCCCAACAATAAATCAAATTTCTGCCGGATAAGCCAGCATGGACGCAGTTCGCTACTTAATCAGTCATTACTGTTGGTTTTAGTATTCGTTGAAAAACCTGTGTAAAACCTTTAGCCACCTTACCATCAGAAACGTGATTTGAAAGTTTACTTCGGTACCTCACATTGAGTTTGGCTGCGTTTTAATGTCGAATGAATCTTGGCAGTATGAGGGGGCTTCGACTGCTACATCCAAAAGCCGTGACAGGTTGTTTCACGCAGTTGTAACTTGGGTCAGACAAATTATTCTGTTCCACACGGCTGAATTCAATCAAAAATTGATGAAACAGAACTGTGCGGTTGCAAACCATACATTGGCGTGACAAAATTGCAGCCACATTCTAGGGAAGGGGGTTAATGAATTAACTGATCAGCTGTCTATCCACATCACTGTATGCAAGTGATACCCACGTGCAAATGCATATCAGTGTCGTGTTGCGATCAATGCACCTGACTGAATTATGCTTACCTTAGACGGAGCCTAACTGTCGAAATAGACTAAAGATATCTGGGATTTTCTCGGTCTTGACTGTGGTTCCAAAAAGATTCAAGGTCATATCTACCAAAGGGGCAGTAAACACCGATGGATTTCAGTGTTGCCTCTCATAATCGACGGAGAGTTAATGTCCACGATTAGCAGCGTTCTGGCCAAGCTGTATCCAGAAAGCCGGAAATAACTGAAAACGATGGAAGTGGACATTCAAATACTTAAAAAAAAATAATCAGCTGTTTTTGACCTCTTTGAAAACAGAATCTTGTTCAGTTAGGGAATTCAATTCCATCGATATAAAGGATTCCTAGAAACACCGTACAGCTCTTTCATCTCAAAATGCGGAAGCAAAACACTGAATGTTTATAGATGGAGGGCTAATGCACTCGCCACAACCATACTTTTTATTGCTATGTTGGCTTTCCCAGCGTATGCTGATATTCGCTTTTTTATTGGCAATAGGTCTGTCAACACTTTGAAAAGTTGGTACCAAGTGTCAGCCACCGCGTTAAGTCCATTGTTTGGTTTCTACAAACCCATTGTCAGTCAACCGCTTAGCAGCCGATTTTGACAGTACGTCCCTATGGCTGCAGGTGAAACATATTGCCCCACATAGTATAGGGAAATCGATAGACGACTGAGTGATTTCCGAATCCGTTTAAATTGAAAACCCCTTTTAATCTGGCCCTTTCGAATTCCGAAAAAAAACAGGAGGGTGACAGCATTTCAGTAACAATCAAGTTTCCATGAGAAATTTCCAAACTTCTACCAGAAATCTAAACCTGCAAAATATTTAACTTCTCCTGTAGTTGAAGCCAATCTGTGCACTCCAGAAAAATCTTTGAGAATTTTCAAACTCATCACGTTCCGCCACAATGTTCTGGTTACGATGAACAACGGTGTTCTTAGCTTGCATTCAGAGAAGATATAGCGCCCCTCATCCAGAAACGTCGCCCGGTCAGGTGTTGGTTGGTCATTCGAGCAACAAATTTATAGATCGAAACGGAGTTCATCTCATGAATTTATTCTCATCCTGAGCGATTTACGTTCTTACTAACATTTACAGAAACCCTTTGATACCTATATTTCAAATGCTCTACTTAGCGAAGTTCCAAATGTCCTTTGTACTGCCAGCTTAGGTTTGTGATGAGGTTCCAGATCCGTTTAACATGATATCATGTAGTGAAAAATAGGAATTGGCGTAGTGACTGTGAAATCATGCATCCGACGTTGTGCGGTTATAAGGCACTAACTGTACGAACTTTGGGCATTCATCTTCGTTGCGTTGTTCGCGAAAACAAATTTTTGCAAACTTTGAGCTCATATTTGTTGGACAACTCGCCATAGTGTTTCATTCGAATCTTGAAATGAAACTCTTTAGAAAATAAAAACGATCAGTCTGGATGTCACAAATTTGATGCAGTCCAGATATGGAATGAATGTTGTGTTAGGTCTCTTAGATATGTAACATCCGTGGTAAGTTTAAACATAAACCGAAAGCGAGCGACCATCTGCAAATGCTTAGAAGTGCCATAGGCTTTTAAATTTGCTTTATTTTCATAGGAGTTCGGAGAATTTGTGTTAATATTTAGTAAATGATACAAACCATGCTTCAAACAAAAACGTGATTATATCAGTAAATCAGTAGCCATATGGTGAGTACGAAATTAGCTAGATATGGATCAAAATGTGGGTTTTCACGAAATCAACGAAGAAACTTTTATGGTTGTGACTGGTGGACTCTCACTCGAGCAGCTAAACCCGGCTAATTCTCAAAACAACCGTTAAACAATGATCGAACAAAACCCTTATGGCTGCATCATTATTATCACCAGGGATATCCTGCCGCTGATGTTAGTTCTACTTACAATGCATCCATGTATTTATAGCGGCAAAAATTAATTGAGGCTGAATTAAATTTAATTGCTGCATTTCGTCAGATTGCTTGAAGACCGCACAACACACTCGCAATTTTCTCTATAAAAACGTTCACCTCCCAAGGCTCTTGGGCAGCACCTGTGGTATATCATAAAAACTAGGCAGACTGCGCCTATTTTCTTCATTTGATTGCATACAAACAATTGTCCGTTTCTTCCGTTCGAGTCTTCACCATCCAAAAACCAATCCCTCTAGAAACGGAAGCTAGAAGACCATATTGTTGCGATTAGCACTATCGGGAGGCGGAGCACATCCTACAACCAAATAGGTTGCTGATTTACAAACTTCTCGATCAGCCACATCTGAACAATTTATCCACACAATATGGTGAGCGATGCCCCGATAATGGTGGATTTTTTCTACATGCAAACCTTTTTCACAAACAAAATTAAGGGTTAAATGATGAGGATTGTTTTTACAAGCGTCTCTAGGGAATAGAGAAAAAAATAGGATGCAATACCTCTGTACAATCTTTCGTTCACAGATGCATTATGGTCGAGACTGACGACATAATCTTCCTAGTATTACTGCACTTGCAGCCATACGCTTAGGTAGACAAGTTGTACAAGATTAGTCATTTCAACCGCAGTTGTTTCCCACATCCGCACTATGCCGGCAACAGCAGTGTATGTAAAATCGATGACGTCTAATCTTGGTGCGAACGTATTGTGCCTGAATGTGTGTTTACTTCTTTGACCAAAATTATATTTTTTTTATGTTTCGCTAATTGAAGAACTTTATTGGGCTCACGGCGTTTTCGATTTTTTTCGTCGCCAATTTACGTTTATACTGTAGGCATTATATTTTGTTGCACTGTCAAATATTGAACTGTATTGTAGTGCGACTCTATTGTTCTGCATGCGAGTTTTTATGTCATACCCTCAAACAACCCACTTCAGCGCTTTGAAATCCATTAAAAGCTATGTCTACGACGCTGCTATAAGTACCTTCCTGTAAGCAATGTGGTAGGCACGAGGACGATTACTAGTGGGTGATTGCTAGTCCTATTTGCTTGCTTTGGATGAATTTCATGCGCGGCACTGTCCACTGGACTGACATTCAAGTTCACGGAATCTCAAGCGTTTAGATGTTCCAACGTGATATGTTATATTCATGGATTTTAGCTCGGGCAGACTGGTGACGTCAGAAACGCCACCCAAGTTTATTTTCCTCCGGTTCTTTCTGCGTGCGGGGAGTTAATTTCGGCGCACACGCAGCACGGCCAAATTGCGTATGGTAATGCGGCGTGCTTGATGCGACAGGCTACTCCGGAAGTGCATAACAGCTCAAAGTCGTTGGTTATTTCTGTCTGCTAGCCCACATCATTCATTAGCAAATGAAATTACCAGGTATGCACCATCGAAGAATGTATTGTTTTGCCTGCTTGTTAGGTCTAGTCACTTGTTTTTCATGCTTACCTCAGACAGCTTTAGCAGGCTGAGCACTTGGCAGCGCTGCAAAAAACAAAGTAATATTGCGTGCTTTCGCCTCATACTCCATCGATTAACCAACAGTCAACTTGCCCACCATAGATTCGCCCGTAAGGACAGTATTTTATATAGTATACTACGGTATGGTTTGGTATAGAATAGTGGAGTATAGTATAATATATCACACTATAGTTCAGCACAGTGTGGTATTGTATAGTATAGTATAAAGATGCCTGCGGTCTACTAATCTCAGAAGAGATATGTAAAATACCAGTGTTTGGCTCCGAAAAAGATGCGATAGATAATCGTAACTTTCATCTCTCTTGACTTAGGCTGGAATTTGATACAAACACTTCCTGAGTGAATGAATCAATGTTTGATTGTAACGCATGCAAGCATATGCAGAAATCTTTCATCTTCTCATCTTTTATTCAGGTGTAATACAGTTGAATCCCTCGTGAAAGTGATGTGCAAATGAATGCATTTGATGAAGTCCGTCTAATTTGAGTTCAAGTGGAACGTAAGATTGATAAAAACTCAGGGCCGTATTTTTGATGGGCCCGACAAAGGATGAAACCGGTGGTGGCCTGCTGAAAGATGAAAGATGAAAATCATCTAAATCAGGTCCCTTTGGCTGTACACCGCTGTTGTTGCTAGCACCAATTTATTGAAGAAAATCCTGGCTAATTTGCCAGTTTTAACCGTGATCATGCGCTATTATTTATGGGAAATGAGCAATTACCCTTGACGTGAGATGATGTTACGCTTGCTCCTCTACGTTGTAGGGCATGGGGCATTTACATGCAACTTGATCCTCATTAGGATCCCAGCCGTTTAGTACATGAAACTCAGATTAATTTTGGATCTTAAAGACTTACCTCTGGTATGTCTGTGTCTGAAGCGGTTCATTCCTAACGCCGTCGCACAAGATTTCCACAGAATAGCATTCACTATGCAC